GATGAGAGTGGGTATGGAGCGTGCATAATTGTTAATCCCACAAGCGGTTGAGATTGTGAAGGGACAAAACGGCTACGACGTCTATCCCGAAGAGAACAGTTTAGTACAAAGGTTGTTTGGTATGGCAACACGCGTATGTACGGGTGTGCTAAAGACAGCTGGGCAACAGTTACTTACTCCTCATCCCTCTTCAGTCCACTAAGGCATAAGGAGTTGGGGGCTTATGGTGGGATATTGGGCCTCTAGATTGTAAGTTGGACCCAATTTCTAAGCAATATCCGTAAGAGTGGCACTAAAGCAGAAATGGGCCACTCGACGGGCCAGGCCTGCGAAGGAAGCAATGAATGAATCTTCAGCCCGTAAAAGGAAATATCACTACATGAAAAATGCAAAATTGCAACGGGATCTTGCGACGGAATTAATTCCATTATACGTTGTGATGAAACACGTAGCCCTACAACTCTGTTACAGAATTTACAAGATTTGTTTTCCATTGTAATCCAACTGGAGGAAAACTAGGCACCACTTCTCTACGATGGTTTATATACATTGTACACCATTTATTTTATTTTTTAAAAGAATATATACATGCGACATAAATTGCGATGACGAACTCCTCTTGCAATGTATTTTTAACAATTTAATACTCCCTCCGTCCTAATATTAACTTCTCACTTTCCATTTTGGGCCGTCCTAAAATTATCTTCCCATTTTTATAAAAAAGCAACTTTTCACATATTAAATGACACAACTACCCTCGAAATTAACTCTCCTACCTCCTCTCTCCGAACGTCAAAACACACCTCCCCCACCATATCTCAAGAACTCTGGATCTACATTATGCTTCTCTCTATCTCTCTCAAACACTACCTCTCCTCTTGAATTATCCATTAAAAAATTAAATCCGTCATCATCGCCTTCACTATAGAGCTCCAGCCGCTGTCTCCATAGATTATCGAGCTACCTTTACAGTGTCTGGGATGATCTTCTTCGTTAGATCTAATAGATCGATAAGAATCATTTCAACCACCACAAAACTAAAGAATTTACTAAGAAATTTGAGATTCAAATTTGTTACACGAACCTCTATTTCGCCTTCACATAAAGCCTTGTCGGAAATTTGATGTAAGTTGACGGAAGTGCACCAGGGAAAAAATGATGCAAATTACCTAGACCTCTGTGTTCTATGTGCTTGTGCGATTATATTTGTTGTATGTGCTTGATTTGTTGATTAATTTTGTTTGAATTGAGAAATAAAAGATGATTTCTGTCAATTCAGGATATCGACTAAGTTGAGATGATAATTCTGGAGAAGATAATTGGTGTTTAATTTTTATGCTGATTTTCGAGGGTGGTTGTTTGATTGATTTTTGTTTTAGTTGAGAGGTAGAAGGGATTAAGGATAGAAGGGGTTGGGGGCATTTTAGGGAACTCAACATAATTTTAACACTTCCTTAAAAGTCACCTCTGGTCAAACCGGGAAGTTAATATTAGGACGGAGGGAGTAAAAAATTAGGGTAACTTCCCAAAATATTCCTTTCTAATAAAGTATTTTTCCAATTTAGTCCCAAAATAGTCTTTTATGAAAAATGCCTATTAAATGACCACTTTTGTATTTTCTATTATCTAAATTATGAATAAATTTTCAAAATGGTTCTTTCAAATTAAATTATTGACTGCTAGAGGAATGGACCTACCCCGAGTAGGTTCAGGGACTCTATTTCGGGATAATATTTACTTAGAAATTATGAGTTTGGAAAATTACTTAATTATAAAGAAGAATTTCGAAAACATACTTTAAGTTTAGATGATAGAAAATATCAAAATTCTATTACGGAAAGATGACATTAGAGCATCTCCAACCATATCATTTTAACTTGCTAAAATTTATAATATAACTAGTTAAACAATTTTGTTATTCTCCAAAGGCATTCTTTATTTTAGCAAGTTTGTCAAAAAATGTAAAAATAGCAAATCTATATAACAATCATGGTTGGAGATGCTTCTAGTAATTTTTACACTTTACCTCGTTTGGAAAAGAAAAAACTAGTTAGGGTCCTACCTCGGATCGGAGCAATGCTTTTTTCGCCGATTTGGTGCGACGATCTTCCTCTCCCATTGCCGATCTTCCTCTCCCATCTCCGATCTTCCTCTGCCGCAGCTTTTTAGCTCCTCTTCTGAAACAGGTTTTCTCTCCCTTCATCTTCCAATTTCCAAGTCTTCGTGTATTGATTTTTTTTGGTTTTCTTTTTTTTTCTGTTTCCAAGTCTTCGTGTATTAATTTTTTTTTGATTTTCTTTTTTTTTCTGTTTTTATATGTTTTCCTTTTGCTGTGTTTTTCTAATTATTGAAATATCTTGCTTTTTTCTAGTTTTTTATGTTTTTTCGGTTTTGTTTTTCAATTTTTTTGGAGGGTTTTTTTTCTGTTTTTTTTTCGTTGTATTTTTTTTGCCTTTTTTGATGTTTTTTTAGTTTTTTTTGTTTTTTTGTTTTTTTGCTATTTTTTCTTGTTTTTGTTGCTGTTACACAAATATTTTCTACGTGGAGATCCTGATGAGGCTTGGACTCCACATAGTTGAAGACGAAGATGATGACGTAGAAGAGAATGAGAGTGAAACACGTAATAAAGAAAAACAAGCTAAATAGTATTTAAGTAATTTTATTGTTTTACCTACGTCACATTACTTAATAAATATCTAAACACAATTTTTAATGTATTAACTTCAATTACCTGCTATTACCAACCTAATAAAAGTTTACTACCTCAAAATCCATCCAAAGACATTCTTACAATATCAGAGAAATGGAAGAGAGAGGCGCGACGCAGAGAAGATAGAAGGGCGACCGGCTATTTTCAAGAGGAGAAACCCTCCAATTAGATCAATTCGAAGTAAGTTTGGTTTGGTTTTTTAGCAATTGACATGTTTATTATCTTTATGGGGTTGTGTTTTGGATGAAATTTTTCATTCAAGGGTTGAAGATGTGGTGGGGGAATTGCTTGGACGATTGAAGGGGGGCATTGACGATACGGGAAGGTCGGCGGGTGGGTCGTGGGTCATGGTTAGGGGGAATTGGGTAGGGGCTGGGGTAGGGGGTAAGGGATGGGGGTAGGGCGCAGCGGTTAGGGGCTAAAAATTTGATCTATCTTTGTTAGATATGCATTTCGAATGTTAATTCATGTACATTTTCTTGATAATTTGAGTTGGAACATGTTTTATGTGTTGGGTTTGATCTCAAAGTTAGAAACTTTTAAATTTTCATGCTGATTTTTTTCAAAATCTACACTTTTATCTTGTTTTTGTTCCTTTCAGTACTCTTTTGCATGAAATATGAACTATCATTGACATACTTTGCTTAGGACAACATTTAGAAGTATACGATGGTGTTTAGATATTGAGTTTTGAATTTTAAATGCTGATCTTGCAAGAAAAAACTGATCTATATTGTTGTTTAGTTTGAAAAATCTGCCATTTTTTGCTTGAATTTCATGCTACGTTTGTGTTCCTAAGATGCCTATTTGCTGAATAATGAAGTTTCACTAGTAAAAACTTAGTATTCTTTGTGTAGAGATTGAAAATTAAGTTTAGCTAATCTCTTGATGCTTATCTTGTTTTTTTCCTTTCGAGTGTTTTAAAGAACTAACTTTCTTCATTACTTGACGGCAATGTTTGAAATGGCGTATTGCGGTTTCAAGGCGTACTGCGTAAGCCTCAATTTTTAAATTGAAAAATGTCCATAAAACATTTTAAAAACTGAAGATAGAACATAATGTATAATATAAATAATCCAGAAACATTAAAAAAGTATATTGTCAAAGTAATACATCTCAAACACAACAAAGTCTAACATGGAATAAGACAAAATATTGGCCAAAGTGATGAATTTAAATAGTTAAATTGAAGAATTGAAAAAAAATTATCAGTGTCCAACGGCTTGAAATTAGGATAAAAAGATGTTGCAGTTCCTTCATATTTGTAACTCAATTCTTGTCCTTCGTTTTTGGGCGTTGAGTCAACACCATATTTCTATGCTGGGTCAGACATTTTAGCAATATTCTGAGAAACCTAAATAAATAATACATTACTATGCAAAAACATATCATAAAAACAAGAAAAACACCAACTAAAACCTCCATCCGTAAGCAAAAAAAATTTAATGCTCCTTCATCAAACCGTAAGAAAGAAAAAACACCAATTAAAACCTCCAGAATAAATTTAGCAAGAAAAATAAATTAATACTCCTTCATAAATCCTACAGCCGTAAGCCACCTAGTCGTATACCATTTGCCGGAAAAAAATTGTATACCTGCTAAATTGCGATGAAGGAGACGGAAAAGAGAGAACCAGAGACGGCTGACGCGATGAAGAAGATGAATCGCAGTTGGTAATCGCAGCAATTAGGGTCGCAATTAAGGTCAATGACAATTGCTTAAAGTGGCTTATTGCGTGAATCGGGATACGCACCAAAGCGGTAATTTCTGGAAAAGCGCTATGGCGTGCCATGAGGCGGGTTTAGGTTTTGCCATTTTAAATATTGCATTGACGGTCGAAATGAATATGTGTGTAAATATTACATATTGTCTAGCCAACGACATTAAATTGGGCAGCTTATGAGAAGCAACCCACTTATTTTAAAAGTTAAAAAAAACTTTTTTAGATAAGTATTTATGCTTACTTCTAACTTCTATGCGTTGTTGTACTTGTATTTTTTTGTTTTAGTTGTTAATTTGGTTTACTTTGTCTTTCTCTTCCCTCTTTCTTATTACAACCCTTTTACTTTTCTTTCATTTTTTGAAGTCTTTTCCCTCCGTATTATTGTATATTATTAGTAATAAGAGTAGTACTTGTTGTAAGTTTATTAAACTCTTTCTCAAAACAGCTAAAAAAACCAATGAACTATTCAAACTAGCTAACACGAACAGCTAAAGGAGAGCTCATTGGTGAATTCTTGTTTTATCTATGATCACAGATTTTGGGCCGATAGAGAGACAGAGGGAGAAGATGTGTGGAATATTTGCTTACCTGAATTATAGTGTTAGCAGAGAGAGGCACTACATCCTAGAAGTTCTGTTCAATGGTCTCCGACGCCTAGAGTATCGCGGCTATGATTCTGCCGGAATTTCTATCGATGCAAATTCCAATTATTCCACTGCCCCTCTCGTCTTCCGGAAGGAGGGCAATATTGAATCACTTGTCAAATCCGTCTACAATGGTAATACTTTCCTGCTATATTTATTGTGAATTCATTATTTTGGCATTCAATATACTTGCTTTTTCCCAAAGAAGATGCTGACTTAGAGCAGTGTTCTTTTTCCTTTCTCTTTTGGAGTAAGCGAACGCCCATTTTGTGTGATATGCATTGTATCTGCAGCTTTGTGTAAAACTAATGTCCATTTTGTATTTCCAGATGTTGCAGCTACAAATCTAAATTTGGAAGAATCATTTTCTGTTCATGCTGGGATAGCACATACTAGATGGGCAACCCATGGGGAGCCAGCTCCTAAGAATAGTCATCCTCAGTCATCTGGCCCTGGAAATGATTTCTTGGTTGTTCACAATGGTGTCATCACTAATTATGAGGTGACTTTCTTCTTCCCTTTCAAATTATAAAACTTAGGTTAAGGTCCACCTTCATTTGAGTTGTTCAAGACCTTATATGTGACTTTGTTTTTATTTGGCCGGTGTGATATAACTTTACACAAATAATTATTTCGTAAGCTAAAATGGAATGTTTACTTGAATAGATTTTAAGAGCTTAGTGATGTGGCTTTTCATTATATATTAGTATGAGGTGCTATATTGTTATTTCAGTCATTGTGTGCAAAGCGGTGCATTGCGCTCAGGCTTCCTCCTGCCTTGTTATTGCGCAGGCACTGAAAGCGACTCTGATCAGGCATGATTTTACCTTTGAATCAGAAACAGATACGGAAGTGATTCCTAAGCTTGCAAAGTATGTATTTGATAAAGCTAATGAAGAAGGTTGGTACCACATGGAACTGTTAATGACATTAGTATTTGCTTTATGTTTTGATTTCTAACCTTTCATATTTAAAACATAATAAAAATTAAGAAGAGAAGCTCAAGAATTTTCTATTTTGCTTATAGGTGATCAAAGTGTGACATTCAGTCAAGTTGTACTTGAAGTAATTCGACATCTTGAAGGAACGTATGGTCTCATATTCAAAAGTCGTCATTATCCAAGTGAGTTGATTGCTTGCAAGCGTGGTAGTCCACTTCTTCTTGGTGTAAAAGTAAGTTACGTCTTTCTTAAGTATGCTTTGAATACAGATTTCAATCTTATAGGAAATACTTCTATATGACATGACTTGCCCTTTGCTTTGGCTCCAAAAATAAATCCTGGTTTTTAACCCCGGTTACCCTGTCAAGTTCGGGAATCCTATAAACTTGCATTGCCCTATTCTGTGAAGTTCAGGCACTAGCTCTCATTGTATATTCAACGTCGAAATTAGTACCACTCTTGATTTTTCTTAAGACTCTGGTTCAAAAGCTGTCGGACCAATCTTGACATTCAGTAATAGTTAGGGGGTTTATTTTGTAATTATGTTGAAGTCTTTATTTGTTAATAATTAGGGTAGAGTCAGTCATAATTTTAGGAGATATATCTCGGATGGATTTGAGATTATCATAGCTTGTAGGAGTAGGAGATGTTATGCTTGGAGAGCAAGGCTCATGATTTAACTTGGTGGACAAGGTTAACTCATCTATAAATAGGGATAGTTTCTCTGTATTTTATGTATTCAAAGTTTTTCAATTAATTGGAGAAGGATTTCCAATAAGTTCTTGTTCTAGATTTCTGTTTTCTGTTTATCAAGATCTTGTACCAATAACTTCAATTGGTATCAGAGCTGAGTTCGAAGGGCCTGAAACTCTCCTGATCCAAAAGGGGCTGGATCAATTACCAGACAGGGCAGAAGTACAAGCGTTGATCTAAGAACAATACGATGACTGATGCCAACAACCAGGTTGTGGTAATCAAGGATAACAACAAGCTTCCATTCCAGTGTCCGATCCTAACCGCGACTAATTATCCCATCTGGTCGCTTAGGATCAAAGCAATTTTCAAGGCGTACGAAATCTGGGAATCGATTGATCCTGGAACAGATGTCGATCGGAAAAAGGATAATTCCGCTATCGCATATTTGTACCAGGCGTTGCCAGAGGATTTGATTCTTCAAATCGCAGATTGCACCCACGCAAAGGAAATCTGGGATGCAATTAAGACTCGTCATCTTGGAGTTGAACGAGTAATGGAAGCTAGACTTCAGACTCTTAAAGCTGAGTTTGAAGCAGCAAGGATGAAAGACAGCGAAAAAATTGATGATTTTGCTGCAAAACTTTCTGGAATTGCCTCAAAATCAGCAACACTTGGAACCGTCATCGAGGAAACCACGTTGGTCAGCAAAATATTGACTGCCATACCAGAAAAATTCTTAAATATGGCAGCCACTATTGAACAACTGGTTGATCTCAAAACAGTGAAATTCCAGGAGGTTGTGGGTAGGCTGAAGGCATATGAAGAACGAACCGGTGCAAAGAC